AGCGGCTGGCTCACCCAGCCCCCATGTCTCCTGGCCACCAGGCTCCAGAGAGGCCACGACTACCTGTCTGTGTCTGTGTCGCTTGTTCTTGGAGCTACTCACAGAACTCACCCAGATTGTAGTAACTCCCTCTTGTCCACTTTGGCCTATTCGCAGGGCAAGTGGAAGGCTTTGAACAGGGGACCTGCCTCCCTGATTGACCCCTCCCAGGCTGGACCTACCTTCAAGTCTCCATCCTGGTCTCTGCCAAAAAAGTGGTTCCAGGCAGGGCCAAGGACCAGCCCTGCCGATGCCAGTGAGAATCCACCCTGGGGGCCAGTCTGACCCACTCTGCCACATTCTTAGACGTGGTTATTTAGCTAACCCCTGGGAAACCTGGCCATAGTTTTCTGTCTCGTCCACAAGGATGTCACGAGGGCCTGGCTCATGGCCAGCTGGAGAGCACATCACCCTTTTGAGCAGCCAGGAGGGGACACACAGTTCTTCTACAAGACTCTCTGGTAGTGAACTCCTCAAACTTGCCATTGTCTTCCTGGTGCTCTGTGCAGCGCTTCTGGAATTTCTATTTGAATGGATCTGAAACTTACCAGTGTAAGCACAAATTGGCTGTTTTAGTCCCTTTTTTAAGACAAAAGGGGAGGGATGCTAATATGTATAAATGCCAGCTCTTGACATACATCATTTCTCTGAATCTTCATCACAACTTTATGTGGGAGGATTGTGGTACCGCTTGGAAGATGAGGGAGCTGAGCCGTGGAAAGTGGAGTAACTTACCCAGGGCCCCACAGCTACAAGGGCAGAGCCAAGACTCACACCAGGATGGTCCTACCCTCAAACTCTTGCTTTTCCCAGATGCTGTGCCCCATGCCTGTGTCCCCTCCTACAACTTCTCACAGGTTCAGCCAGCACGTTCTTCAACAAGAGTGTTCTGGGGGTCTGCTCTGCACCAGCCCCTCTGCACCCTCTCTCACCCTGTCCTGTCCTTTTTGGACAATCTTGTCTCCTGTCAGCCTGAGGGTAGTGCCAATCTCCCTGTCCCTCCCTACGTGCCACACACAGGACCAGGGGACAGAGTGGAGGCTCCGGGAAGAAAGATGTACCCCGGAGGGATGTGAGACCCAAAGGTCTCCATGGGTGGCTCATCTGCTGTGTTATTTTTAACAGATATTTTTGGTTTGGAAGGCCTGTGTGTAAAGCAGTACGTGTCTGTGGAGAAGATCTAGGAGTCATCCTTGTTCCTTTTCTTACCTTACCCCCTCAGATCCAGCTCATCAGCCAACTGCTGAGGAGCTGGTTCCGCTACAGCGTAGATCCTGAATCTGTCTAGTCCTTCCCTCACCGTGGCCTGAGCCTCGTTTCTTTGTCTTGGGCAATTGGTCCCCTGCTCCTGTGCCTGCTCCCCTTCCATCCTGTCTCCGCTCAGCAGCTCTGGCGGAACTTTTCACAGTGAAGAAAACGTCGCAGCCCTTCCCTGGTTAGAACCCTTCAGTGGCTTCTCATTTGCATTCATTGGGATGAAGTCTGAAGCCCTTGCCTGGCTCTGAGGGCCCAGCCTCCCTCTGCCTCACTCCTGGCAGTTGCCCCGCCTTGGCCCACCTTGGCCCAGCACCTGGCCTACCTGCTGCTCTGCAGAAACATCAGGCTCCCTCCTGCCTCTGCTCCGGGCCCTACAACTCCTGCTCCAGGCTGGGCTGATTTCTTATCATACCGGCATAAATTCAGACGTGACCTCTTCCCTGATCCTCCAGCTGCAGTAACCCCTGGCCCCACCCGGGGATGCTCTCTCACGTTACCAGGTTTGATTAATTGTCCTGGTCACTCTTGGGAATTATCTTGTTTGTTTATTTGCTTATCGTCTGTACCCCTGTCCACAGGAGAGCACAAAACTTGTGTGTCTTGTACCCACTGAGTCCCCAGTACCTATAATACACCAGCATCTAGCAAGTGCCCAATAAGTATTTGGTGAATGAATGAAAAATAACGCAGAAACATGTAAAGGAGAAATAGTAGATTTTGCAATTGTGGCTATAGTAGCAGTCAATAATGTGACAATTGTATGTGTGTGTGTGTGCGCGTATGTAAACTGGGAATCATCTGCTCTGCTAATGAGAGGCTTGGAGGTGCCTGGGCCTGAAGCACTGCGTGCATGGGAGACACAAACGTGTACATGTGGGCCATACACCTGTGCACACGCATGTTTCCCTGTTCAGCAGCAGTGTGACCTCTGGCCTTTTATCTCTTGGGCCTCGGTTACTCTCTCTACCTGTGGAACGGGGCTACCTGGGGCTGAAGGCAGAGGCCTGGGTGCTGTGGCCTCTCGAGGTCAGCCCTGGCCCCCGGCAGGAGCGCCGCAGGTGGCAGGGCCTCCTTGGCCTGCCTTCTGGCCTGCTGTGCTGTGCTGGGAGGCTGGGCGGTGTTTATGGAGGTCCACCTCCATGCAGGGCTGCTTCCCGCTGCCCCAGGAGGCAAGGATCTCTCCCAGGCGGGAGCGAGTGGTCCAGGGGCGGGGAATGGGCAGGAAAGGCTGGAGGTGTGAGCTTTGCTGCCAGGAGGTAAATTACGTTCACAGCTGAGGTCTCTTGAATGCATACATAGCTTCAATCTGACACGTTTTCATTTTTGTGTATGCGCTTGCTTTTTAAAAAATTTTGACACATTTATTTTATTTCTTGAACTTTTTTCTTTTAATTTCTACAAAAAGAATTTTCATGAAATTAAAAAGAGAAAACATACACACATACACGTGCACACCTGTGTTTGCACCACCTCTAGGCAACAACTGTCCCCTCCCTGCCCGAGTGCCCTTTCCTGTGAAGACAGTACCGGAAGCTTGCAGAATGTGTGGAAAGTGGAAGAGGCCCTTGACCTTGGGCAAGTTACTTAATCTCTCTGTGCCTCAGTTTCCTCATCCAAAAAATAAGTGTGTAATAATCGCTCCCTCTTACAGTTGTGCAGATTACTTGAGTCAACATTTATAAAGCCTTTGTGAAGATGCCTGGCACTGAGCATGTTTTTGTTAAATAAGAGAAGTAAATAAATACAAAAGAAGGGCACCCATAATGCCCCAAGAGGCAGCTATGGAACTCTGTCCTGAGTCAGAAATCAGAGTTTGAGCCCCAACTCTGCCCTTACTCCCCATGTAACCGGGTGTGCGTGTGTGTGTGTGTGTGTGTGGCTTCTTCAGCCTCAGCATCTCCACCTGGAGAAGGTCTATGCAATCTGGACCCTGCGATGCTGCACTGTGTGTCAGGGGTGATGGAGGCGAGTGGGCTCAGTGAGCGTGGAGCTGTGCACGCTGCTCCAACCGGCCCCCACCTTCATCCATCTTCCCAATTTTCTCCCTCAATATTGTTAGGCAAACATTGCTCCATGTTGCTACCAGTCCTGTGTTTATCATTTTTAATGGCTGTGTAATATTCCATTGAGCAGAGGTGTCTCGATGCCCTTTGTCATCTCTATTATGGGATATTTAGGCAGCTTCCAGCACTTTGCTGTTATAAATAACCCTGCAGTGAACAGCTCTGTGCCTGGAGCACTTCCCCTCTGATGGATGAATTTCCCAGGCAACCTCAGGGACATTCATTGAGGCTGCTTTGCTGGAGGGCTGAGGGCTGTGCTAGCAGCAGTGGCTGGGAGAAGTAGGTACCTTCAAAGGCCTGGTACCCGGTCCCAGGAGTGGCAGCATTGCGGGGAGGGCACTGAGACAGTGTGACAGTGGTGAGCATGATGGGAAAAGCAGGGCATCTAGTGCAACAGTACTGAGCACGATGGGCAGTCGTAAGGCCAGTGTGGGAGGGACAGTGGGCGCTGTGGAGAGCTGGGACAAGGAGTCAAAGGAACTAGGTTCTGGTTTTGCCTGTGCCACTCTCACTGTGTGACCTTGGGCAAATCCCTTTCCCTTCTGCACCCCAGTTTTCTCCATGTATTGCGGCCAGGGCCTGGACAAAGGTTTATCCACAACTGTGCTGTCCACTATGGTAGCCACTAGCCACATGTGCCTATGTCGATTTAATTGTGGCTAGTGCCTACCATATTGGGTGGCACGGGTATAGAATGTTTCCATCATTGCTGAAAGCTCTACTGGGTTAGAGACATTTCTCGAGATCCAGTCAGCCCTAACGTGCTGTGATTCGGAACCTCTGTCATCCTGCCTTTTTATGGAGCCAAGAAAGATGACAGCAGCCCTTGGCGCAGAGGACTCATTAAGGGGCTGAAGAGGCCTACTGACTTTCCAAGGCCAGGACCTCTGGAAGTGTCCTGCGTCTGAAATATCCACACCGGTTTCTCCCCCCAAAGGCCCAACTTGGCCTCAGAGAGAGGCTGGGGGTGAGTGTGGGCCCACGAGGGGTGGCCCCCAGCCAGGGCCATGCCTGAGGAAGCTGGAGTGAAGGCGGAGTAGGTTGTCCCCTGAGTCCTCAGACAGAGGGCACTGGAGGGCCTACCCTGCTCTCTGCCAGCCCTGGAACACCCCCACTCCTTCCTGAGTTAGGCACTGTCCTCCCCAGGATTCTGTTAGAAGGCTGGACTGGAGGCCAGAGAACACGGCTGCCTCACTCAGCTTGTGGTTGTCCTACTGTGGCTGCCTCAGGCCCTTGGCCCAGTTCTGGGTCCTCACTGGAAGAGGAACTGTGAAAAATGAGTCCTCAGCACTGAGGGGGAAGCCAGCCCCCTCCCCTCCCCCATACCAAACACACTCGCTGGCCACAGCACGTGGACCCCGGCCATACCTGCCCCCAGCCCGCCATTCACTTCAGAGGGAATGCCTCCTGCAGGTGCTTTCCTGCAGCCTGGAGGTACTCCAGGGTGAGAGGGAGGTGGGGGGAGGGGCAGTAAATGAGGGAAGTAAGATGCAAGGTGTGAGGGAGTGAAAACAAACTTAGCTGACTTTGGTCTCACCTTTGCCAAGTTGTGGCCACTGTCTGCCCTGCCCTCTGTGTCCAAATGCCCCTCTGTTCCCCAAATGAACCATACTGCTCACTCTTGCTTCTCTTGTTTTCTAGGGATCCCTTGCCCATGTGCTGGCTGCCTTGAGTCTTTGGGGCCACACAGCCTCCCGTCCGCATCTCCAGGGCTCTGGCCCTGTCCAGCCCCTGGACCAGCTCCCAAGCCTATTCCTCACCCCAGTCTGGGCTGAGGGGACTCCTCAAGCTTCAGGACTCAACAGGGCACAGTAGCAGTCACGGTAGGTGGCATCTGTAAGCTGCGCACTCCCTGGCTCTGGGGATCTAAACCTTCTCGGTCCCTAGAACAGGAAGTGTTTCTGAATAATATCTTTGGTTGCAAGTAGTAAAAAACCTATTTCAATAAAATGAAATGATTGGCTCATGTAACTGCAGTGCCAGCATTTGTATGGGCTTCAGGCAGGGTTTGATCCAGTAGTTCAATGTGACCAGGACCTGGTTTCTGTCTGTATTCCTCTGCTCTTCTTCCTTGGTGATGGTTCCACTCCCAGTGGCATTTCACATGATATGGTTACAAGATGTTTGCCAACAGTTTCTAGGTTTGAATCTGGAGTCGGGGTTGGAGGCAAAAATCTGCTTTCCCTATAGAACAAACAAAAGCCCTGGAGTTGATCTCTTATGCCCTATTGCAGGATTTGGATCATCTTGATTATTTAACTGTATCTACAGGGCTTGGAAACATAGATGGACTGGGGGCCAGGGGCCATCTTTCCCCAACCATGTGACCAGGAATGAGGGGAGGGTGTTTCCCCAAAGGAAGTTTGGGGTTCTGCTGGCAGGAAAGAGATACTCTCAACTGGAGGAGGCAAATAACAAATGATCGTTATAGACAGTGTCTGCCCAGCGCTGAGGGCATTCCTAGATGGATATGGACATGCTGTGTGTCCTTGGGCAAATCCCTGTTCCTCTCTGAACCTCAGCTTCCTCGCCTGATGATGAAGGTCTCCTGGCAGGGGTGCCGTGGAGCTGTCTGGACTGATGGATAGAAAGCACTGACATCCAGCAGGTGCTCAGTAAACCGTGTCCTCTGCCCCTTCCCTCCCAGGGAGTTTGGGAAAACCCTGCTTTCTTCAAACATGGGAGGAACTAAGGAGGGAGCCTCATCAGTCGGGATCCCTAGAAGCAGAGCCTGAGACAAGGATTTGTGTACATGAGATTTTTTGAGGGTTGACTCTTGGGAGAAGGGAGGAAGACAGAGACTGGGATGGGAATGGAAGCCCCATGAGGCTGTGGTCTCAGGTAAGGTCTAGCTGTGGGCTGGTCCAGGGAGCTCTGGAGTACAGCTCATACCACAGAATCACCCCCAGACAAAGGGGCTGGGCTTTTGCACCCCTGTAGCAATCAGTCATGGACTGTGGGCTACTTCTGGGTGCCTGTACTGCTCAGGCGAGGTGGCCCCCATTTGCAGAGGGGGATTCTCTGGAGGAAAGGGGAGTAGGGACTGAAGCAGACTGCCCTCCAAGCAGCTGGGGTGTGGGTGGGCATGCTGGCTGTGGAGGGGCTCTGGGCTGGCACCATTTCCTGCAGGGAGGCGGGAACCTGTGTCCCCAGGCTGGCCAGTCTGCAGTCCCTGGTCTGCTGCCTCCTCTGGCTTTTGCTCTCCTGCCCGAGCCAGCGGTGCCGGTTCCTTCCACGTGGGGAGCTGGGCTGCCCTGCCTGGGGTCTGGTGATGGGGTGGACCTTCAGCCTGTCCTTTAGAGGAGGCTTTTCCACCCTGGGCCTCTTGCCCTCCCTCTGCCCCTGACTCTTCTCCTCTAGTAGTTCCTCTTCTCTCCCTTAAACCTTAGCCATGCAGCTCCCCCACCTATTATACCCTTCCTTGCTCTCTACCCCATCCTTTTTTTCAAGGCCCAGTTTCGGTCCCTCTTTCTCCAGGAAGCTTCTACTGAGTGCTCCAGCCAATGGTTATCTCCTTTAGTCCATCCTCCTGCTCCTCCCTTTTTACAGACGGAAAGACCAAGAACCAGTGTACATTTCCTCGTAAATACTCTATTGGTTACTGCTTCAGTGCCAAAATGTATTGCTCTCTTTGCCTTGGCTGCTGGGAAGCTCATAGCTGGTTTATGGCCCATTTCTGATAACTGTCCCAGATGCTGCAGCATGCAATAACTCAATAGCTTTGCCTCTGGCTTCATCTTCTTCTCTCCCATTTTTTCCTCATTCTGATTTCTTCTCTTATTTTTCGGCCTGTGCTGGTCTCTGCAGCCTCAAACTCTTTTAGAAAGAGATGGGGTATAAATAACCAAGAGTGGCTGTAAATGAAGCATTCAGTGCTGACTGCAGTCAGATTCTAGGCCTTCCCCTTCCTCAGGGCAGTGTGGGGGGTCTCCCCCAGGCCCAGGGCAGAGCCTGTCCCCAGAGAGACACCAAAGCCCACCGTGGTGGCCCCAGGACAGTGCCCACTGTGCCCTCTGTGTGTCAGGAACGGCATTGTTCAGCTTCCCATGCTCTTCCCTCCCTCTCCCCATCTTATCAGAAGCTAATGAAAGAGGCTGGGAAACCCAATCCTCTGGTAATTAAATTTACTTAACGGGTATTCAAGTGGAGTAATGAGAAGTTTAATGCAGTGATTAGATTTTTCTTTAATTAATTAAAATGAGAACCATGTGTCTTGCCAGCAAACCAACTTGACCCTCTGCTTTAGAGTGGCAGGGAGAGACAGTGGGGGGCTGGGCTGGGTGGGTGGGGGCTCAGGGGCAGGGACAGCCTTCTGCCCTGGCACTGCTATCCTCAGAAGTAAGCCCAGCTCTGGTGCCCACTCAGGTCAGTCTCTGATTCAGCTCTCACTTCCAAGCCCTGCCAGTGCCAAGCCTGGGCTACACCTGAGTCCCCAGGGGCGAGGGATTCGAGAGTCCCTGCACTCAGACGGCTGAAAACTGACCCAAGATGAAGGTTTCAGAGGAGAGCCAGCAAGGGTGGCTTAAAGCAAGGAGCACAGAGGAGGGATTTCGGGCATTGTGACAGGAGGAGGTCTTTTGAGTATCACATCTCATCTCACGGGCTGGCTGACACCTTCGCCCGCCTGCTCAGCCAGCCCTGGGTTTACCTCCAGTGGCACTGGATCATCTGGCTAATGGAGTAGGGGCAGTGGGGTGGATAAGTGAAAAATCTGTGATAACCCGCAAACCACGTCTTCTCCTTGGCTTGGGAATGCACCCATGCCAGACGTCTGGCCAACCTTGCTGTGTTTCTGAAGCCCAGTTAGGATGCAAGGAAGCACTGCCTGCCTCGAGCCACTTCTGTGGGGGTCAGGTGGTGGCTGGGGCAAAGGGAGTATGGGAATCTCAGCATAGCTGTCTGGACTGGGGCATAGGACTGGCCTTGCCAGGGGAGAGGGTAGGCATGGTGGGGACCCAGAAGACAGGCCCTGGCACCCCAGTGGCAAGATAATATTATTTTCAGAGCAGTGGGTAAGGCTGGGAAAGGTCCTGAGCCCTTCATGTTGGGGAGGCCGAAAACCTCCTTCACTGAGCCCTGACCCCAGCCCCACACTGAGCCCTGATCCTAGACAGACTGAACCTTGATCCCAGTCATACACTGAGCCCTGAACCCAGCCTCAACACTGAGCCCTGATCCTGGACAGACTGAACCTTGATCCCAGTCATACACTGAGCCCTGAACCCAGCCTCAACTCTGAGCCCTGATCCTGGATGACTGAACCTTGATCCTAGTCCCACACTGAGCCCAGCAGTGTCGTGGATATGCCAGTAGAGAAACAGGTGCTGGGGTGGGAGGGAGGGTGGGAGTTGTGAGTGGCCCTGCTTGTCCATCCCCACTTTCAGCTCTGCTGCCTTTGGACAGAACTCCTGTGCCAGGCCCCACACTAGTCTCTGGAATGACTGAGATGAGTCAGACGTAGGCCCTGCTCACAGGGCTGATGGGGGACGTGACAAGCAAACATATACCGAGTGAGTGATGGAGCTAACACGGGGGAGGCCCGGAGGGCTGGGGGGCCATGGATCTGTACTTGAAGTGTTCCTGGCAGCAGGTGGGGGGTGGTGCTGGAGGCAGGAGCCAGTGGGGAGGCTGAGGTGGGGCGGATGGTACCCATGGGGGTTGGGGTTGGGGGGTCTAGGGTGAGTGATTCTCTCCCCAGTAACTGGCTGTGACTCCCCAAGGCCACCCTCAGCTCCTGGTGAGTCCTGTGGGGAGGGTTGATGGTGTGCTGGCGCTGGGCTGATAATATTACGTTATGAGGAAGGCATTTTTATACTTTCACAGAAGAGGAAACAGAGATGAACAGGGACTTGCCAGAGGCTGCTCAGCCTACGTGGCCAGAGTGGCGTGTTTCCAGTTCTCGCCTGCCTCCAGGCTGCACATTGCTGCTCCTGGGTGTGAACTTGCCCTGGGAGGCCAGGTCCTCTTCGTCTGATGCGTCCTCCCCGACCTGGTGGGGGACACTGATGGGGGCGGAGGTGAGGCTTGAGCCTGGGCCAGACTGGCATCCAGGGCTTCAGGCCACAGCTGGGGTCCTCGGAGTGGGGAAGTGAGGAAGGCCCTGGCTGGGTAGGGGACGGGGATCAGGCCGAGGCCCCTGACACAGGCTCAGGGCTTGGGACTCGCCCGGGAAGGTGGGTCTTCTGCTTCCTCATCCCCGCTTCTCCCCTCTCGGGATCCCTCCTCCCTGGATTTCCACTCCCTGCCCCCATTTCCCTCCCTCCATGGCCCAGGCCTTTTGGAATAACCAGAGCCAGAGAAACCAGCCAGCCAGCCATCTACCACACACATGGGGAAATTGAGGCCCTGAGAGGGGCTGGGTCCTGCTCAAGATCGTGGGGCTCTGCCTGTCACCTCTCTTTATGGTAAAGAGACTGAAATCACATTATCTTGAATTGGAACACTTTCCCTTGGCTGGGAGGCCTTGGGGGGCTTGTGCACACACAAGTTCACACCACCCAGGCAGATGCCCCCATGGAGCCACCCCATCTCCTCGGGCACTGTGCCCTGCAGATGTCTCCCTCCCCGGGGTTCCAGGTGCTATAACTTGCTCTCATTTAATCTTCTCAACAGTCTGGGAGGTTGAGTGGTTTTCTCCAGGTGAGGGGACCAAGGTCGGGAAGTAGGGCAGAGTTACACAGCTGAGTACAGAGGTGGCAAGCTCAGATCCTCCCAAGCCACCCCCTCCCTGATTGCCCACTCCTTGCTGCCAGCAGCTCGCCTCCCTCCGTCTTTCCGTGGGCCCCCAGCAGCTCC